TGTGTCCAAATCCACCCAGAGTGTGCCTCTGCTCCCTTAGTTCCCTTGAACTTTCTCAAACTCATTACATCTAGAAGTACTACATGGGACATCTCCCTCTGGACAAGTCGCTGTTACACACCAGGGCTCGTGTGAGTTAGAGAGAGAAATCCACTCTTCCCTAACTGCTGCTTCTGTCTCCTCCACAGTGGACTCCCCAGGGTACACTTAGGCAAACTTCCCCGGGCTTAGCTCTTCCAACTCCCCCAGGGCCATGGCTCATTGTTTCGCTCATAAAGGGATCTCTGGGTGTGGGTGCCATCTCAGTGAAACAGAAGGCTTGATCATCTTTAGAAGAAGAAGATAGGTTAGGGAGTGCTTGAGGTAGACATAGACAGTTGCTGTGGGGAACATGACCAGAGCACAATTAAAGACGGTACTGAGTGAGTGGCCTGGGGGCCAGGACTAGAGAGGTGAAAGTCCCACTGTCCCTGGCCCAGGTCAAAACATACCTGGATTATATAGTTCAGTTCTGGAACATGCTAGAAAGGACACTGATGAAGCAGAACGTCTCCAGCAAAGGATAACCAGAGTGGTGAAGGGTCTTGGGATTAAATCATGTGAGGTTTAGCCAAAGGAGCTGGGGATGTTTGAACAAAACTATCTTCAAGCAGTAGTCAGCTAGGTGGAGCAAAGGATAGAGTGAGAGATCTGGAGTCTGGAAGATGTATGTTCAAATCCTATCTCAGATAATTCCTAGTTGAGTAACCCTGGGCAAGTCACCTAACCTCAGTTTCCTCAACTGTAAAATAGGGATTACTTAATAGCGTGTATCTCCCACGGTTGTTGAAAGGGTCCAATGAGACACGTGATGAGTGCTTTGAAAACCTAGAGTCTTTATATAAATGCTAGCTATCTTCATTTGAAGAACCATCATGGAGAAGAGGTATGAGACTAATTCTGTTGAGTCCCAGAGGGTAGAACTAAGAAGAATGGGAAACAATTTCAGAGAGAGAAATTTGGACTTGATATTAAGAAAACTAATTGTTTTTAATTTGACCTATGATTTCTCTGGCTTAGGGAGTTCTTGGTGAGAAAACTGCCTCTGTGAAGGCAGGTGAGCACCTTCTCTCGAACTCATGGCCACAGAGAGTTGTTCCTTTAGAACACTGTGAGTTTGTGATTGGCCCAAGGCCATTGGGAAATGAGATTTGGACTCAGAGCTTTCTGACCCAAGGGCTAGATCTCGAGCCACTAAAGGATGCTTCCTTGAGTGCTATGTTCAGATGACAGCTCTCCAAAGACATTCTCTGGGTTTATAGGTCAGTGAATGCTGAGGAGCTCCAGACTTCTTTGAAAGAGAATTGTGCTCCCCTTCACTGACAGTCTTCAAACAACAATAATAACAATGATAATAATAACTACAGCTAGCATTTATATAGTGTTTTAAGGTTTGTAAAGTGCCTTACAAATATTATCTCATTTGATCCTCACAGCAGCCCTGGGAGGTAGGTGCTATTATCATAGCCATTTTATAGATGGGGAAACTGAGGCACATTTCATTTAAATGACTTGCCTAGGGTCACATGTCTAGTAAGTGTTGAGAGAGGATGTAGGAGAATATACCATTCTCATTGTTAAGAGGAGGTGAGAGGGGAAAGGATCAATTAATCAACAAACATTTTGTAAGTACCTACTATATACCAGGCACGGTACTAAGTGCCTGAAGAAACAAAGACAAAAATGAAACAGTCCCTGCCCTCAGGGAGAGTAAATTCTACTGGGAGAAAATAACTCATATCCAGACAAATAGGGACAGGGTATCCCAAAAATCTCAGTGCAGTTTTAAGTTAAAAGACTTTGGGGACAACCTATACAAAAATATACAAAGTAGTTGGAGAGATGAAGGGACACCTGGGGAAATCAGGGGTGGCTTCTTGGATGTAGGAGGTGGTACTTAAGAGAAGCCTCAAAGGGAGATGGGATTCTAATAGTGAACATTCTAATGGGGGAAGCCAAGAGGGAAAATTTTACAGGCATGGTTACAGAGAGAGTGGGAGATGAAACATCATGTGTGTAAAACTTCAGCTAGGCAATCTGACAAGAATGTAAAGTGAGGAGTGGGGGAAGTGATATGTTATCAGCCTGGAAACACAGCTTAGAATCAGATTGTAGATGGGCTTTAAACACCCAAGAAAAGGAATCTACATTTTATCCTTGAGGCATTAGGAGGCCATGGAATCTTATGGACCCTCTTCAAATAGATGAATAAACGAAGTTTGAGGAAGAAAAAAGGAACAACAACTAGGGGGTTGGGAAAGGCTTCTTAGAAAACATTCTGGAATAATGGGATGCCTGCCTGAAATATGGCATCATTTGGGTTTGGAGATGAAGGGGGGGAATGGAGATCTCCACAGCTTTGTATGTGGGCGTGATGCAGCCAGAAAGGGCCTTCTCTCCTCTGGTTGAAGCAGCCTGATTAGTTCCAAAGGCACTGCTCCCTCTCCACCACTCTCATCATTTACAAGTCAGTAAATGCTCAGGAGCTCCCTATCCAGTGTATGAGGTTAATTAATAATATGTAAAAGTTTATAGTTGATACAGTATAATCTCATAAACATTTATTAGTATGCTAATGGGGAGTGATGGCCATGTGAGCATAAAATTAGACTTGAGGTTGGTATGAGGGAGAGAAGGCACTGACAGAGGAGCCGGGGGGTCCAGTTTTTTTTACTGGCAAGCACAAATCTGGAGGAAGGCTTCTCTTTCCATCTCTGCAGGAAGAGCAGAGAATTGTGGAAGGAACCCTGAGGCTCTTGACTAATCCCAATCCTGCTGTTCATTTGCTCTATGACCTTGGGCCATATTTGCCTTCTCTGGTCCTGTTCCCTCAAGTACAACATGACAAAGATGGGCTGGTGGATCTCTAAGACTCTTTCCAGTTCTTTGAGCTTCTAACTGGATTTAAGTTTAAAGATTTCCAAGATGTCTTTCTTAAACATCCTCCTTAAAGCAAATATTCTAGGTGGCACAGTGTATCCACTGAGCTCAGGGAACTGGAGTCAGGAAGACCTGAGTACAAACACTTGCTAGCTGTGTGACCCTGGGCAAATCACTTCACCCTGTTTGCCTCAGTTTCCTCCTCTGTAAAATGAGCTGGAGAAGGAAATGACAAACCATTCCAGTGTCTTTGCCAAGAAAACTCCAAATTGGGTCACAGAGATTCATACACAACTGAAAAGTGACTGAATGCCCAAAATTGATATCACTATATTCATTTGGATTCCCAGAATCTGAGAGATGGAAGGGACCCTAGAAGCCAGTTAGTCCAACCCATACACCAAAGGAATTCTCACTATTGCCTATCTTCCAAATGATATTCATCCTCTGTTTGATGACTTTCCAGAAGTAAAAGCCACTCCAGGTCTCTAGACACCCCACTCCACTAATGGACAGCTCTCATCATTAATGAATTTTTCCTGAAGTCAAGCCTAAATTTGCTTCTTTTACCACTTCCATCCATCACTCCTAGCTCTGTCCTAGGATAACAGTATTCCCTCTTCCTCATGACAGCCCTCCCCATGAAGACAGCTGTCATGCCCCACCATGCAGGGCTTCTGTTCTTCAGATAAACATGTCCAGCTCCTTCAACCAATTCAGAAAAGCTATTTACCGGGTAAATGACCTTGGGTGGGTGATACCCCTCTCTAGGCTTCAGTTCTTTATCTGTGAAAATAGAGTTAGCCTAGATCTTCTTTAAGGACCCTTTCCAGCTCTTAAATACTTTGGTGCATAATCATCATCATCATAGTTAACATTTATATAGTGTTTATTATGTGCCAGGCATTGTGCAAAGTGGTTTACAAATATTATATGATTTGATCCCCACAACATCCTGAGAGGAAGATGCTATTATTATCCCAATTTTACAATTGAGGAAACTGAGGCAGAGTTTGTGACTTGCCCACATAGCTAGTGAGTATCTGAGGATTTAAACTCAGGTCTTTCTGACTCCAGGGGCAGGGTTCTATCCATGGTACTACCTACCTGCCCCCTAGGTGCTTAATACCTATGTGCCTTGTGGAGTCAGAATCTCCCTGGAGGCCTCCAAGATCACTTTCAGCTCTGAATTCATGATTCTGTAATCCTATGAAAATCCCTGATCTCTCTGAGACTCAAATTCTTCATCTGTAAAATGTAAGCAATACATATAATCCCCTCCTCTGGATCCTCAATCCTTCTGCTTGACTAGCCCATTCCCAACAATGATTATTCTATATACATTTCCCTTTCCTCATGGCCCCATCACTGTGACATGGCAGAAAGCTTCATATTCTATGTCTGAGGACCTGGATTCATTTCCCAGCTCTCCTATTGTGAATATATGATCTCTTTGTGCCACAGTTTGCCTCTGCAAAAGGAGGCAATGTGTGTGAATACAATTCAATGAGCATTTATTGATTTTATGGCTGATGCAGGATAATCTCATAAAGATATAATTTGTCTCCTATGTTTAAGGAGAAACAACCTGGTATCACAGATAAAAAGCTGGTTTTCAAGGCAGGAATCCTTGGACTCAGGTCCTGCCTCTGATACATTCTGGCTATGGGGCCGTGGGCACCCTCGGGTGCCTCCGGAAGACTCTCCACTGCAGGTCAAATGCAGAATAGCATTGAGAGAGGAAGTTTCTAGCCCTGGGCTCCCTACACTGATTAAATCCTGGGTCCAGTCAGGTCCAGAGTCCTTTGATTACACCATGCTATAGAAAAAAATCCTTAGATCATTTTGAAACCATAAACTCCACAAGCATTTATTAAGACAAACACAAGCTGGTCCCTGCCCACAAGGAGCTTGGTTTCTACTGGAGGGATACAATATAAAAATATATGATTGCACAAATAAAATATGTGAAATAAACACAAAATAATTTTACAAAGAGGGAACACTAACAATGAAAGAAAATAATAATAATAGTAATAATCAACATTTGTCTAACATTTAATGTTTTGCAAAGTGCTTTATTCATTGTTTTTATTCCACTACCTCATCATTACATTTGTCATATCACTATTGCCTTCAGTGATTACATTATCTGATTTGATCAGGAATCAGGAAAAGCTTCTTGTTGGAGGTGGCATCAGAGATGACCTGGATCCCAAGGGCAAAGGCAGAGGTATTAGAGATGGAGGGTCATGTCTGGAAAAGAGAAGGACCATAGATTACGTGAGGGAGCAGGAGAGTGTATAGTCAGCCTGGAAAGATAGGCCAGGTTGTAATGGGCAAGCCAAATGCCAACAAGAAATGTGTGTGTTTTGGAAGCACGAGGGAGTCATTGGAGTTTACTGAGCAAGTGAGTGACATGGTCAGACACGGGCCTTAGGAATGTGCAGTTGGCAGCTGTGTGGAGGATGGACTGGGGAGGGGGGAGGCTGGATGCAAGGTGACAAGTGGGTGCATAAAACGGTAACAGAACATCAGAGATTGATTATTAAGTCAGTGTATAAGGAAGGGGCTTCAAATTGACATTCAAAAGATCCCCTTCTTCCTGTGCTGTTTGCAAATCCACATTGCAACAAAGCAGGCTTGGGCCTCTGCAATGCAGATGTTACTGAGACTATATTTCTGCCTGGGCATGGACAGACTTTCTCTTCCTTCTCTAAAAATGACATCCCTCTCTGAAGGAATATCCTAATCTCTCTAACCTCTCAGGTGCTCTCACTGAAAGACCTTGCCTTGAAGGAGGAGAGGGGACCCCTGAGACAGCTGTGAACCCCTCTCAGGGCCTGCCTTGTCTGCTCAGTAGGAAGGCCAAGCTCTCTCCTCTCTGCGGATGAAGGCTTTGGAGGAGCTCTTAGCCAGCATTCCCCTCCCCCGCCCAAACTTCACAAGGAATTCAACAATCCCACATCTAGCAAGTAAATTGTCTCATAAAACTTCCCATTGATTTTAGCTGGATCCTTATACATTCCCATGGGGCCAAATTGCTTTTAGTATGATTAATAACCCTGCCTCCCACAAGGCCCAGGCTCAGGCTCCCTCTCCCTTCTGCTCTCAGCTTTTTCCTCTCCCTCTCTCCTCTCTCCCTCTCTACCTCCCTCTCCCTGTCTGTCTGTCCATCCCCACCACCAGCACCACAACTGTGTGAGGGTCTGTGTCAGGTGCTAAGGGCTACAAAGATGAAAGCAAGGCTTTCACTTCTTTTTCTGTCTTTTCCCCTTCTCTCTCTTTTTTTCTCTCCTCCCTCTCTCTTCTCCCTTCTTTTTGTTTTCCTCTTTATTCTTTCTTCATTCTATCTTCCCCTTTTCCCTCTGTCTGTCAGTATCTCTGCTTCTTTTTCTCCTTCCCTCCCTCCCTCTCTCCTCTCTCCTTCCTCTCCCTCTTCATCTCCCTTCCTCTCTCTCTCTCTCTCCCCCTCCCTCCCTCCCTCCCTCCCTCCCTCTCTCCTCTTTCCTCTCTCTCCCTCTCCCTCTCCCTCCCTCTCTCTCTCTCTCTCTCTCTCTCTCTCTCTCTCTCTCTCCCCCCCATCTCTGTATTCCCCCTTCTTTGCCCCCTCTTTCTCTCTTGTCCCTCTCTGTCATTATCTCTCTTCTGCTCTTTTCCTTTTCTTACTATCTTTCCTGCCTTTCTCTTGCTCACTCCCATCTATCTCTCTCTGTCTGGCCACTTCCCTTATTTCTCTCTTTGTCTTTCCATGTCTCCCCCTCTCCTCCCACCCCTTCCCAGCACACATAGGCTCACTCTCATGCTCCTTAAGCATCCAGCTAAATGTTTCCCTTGTTAGAAAAGTTTGGGCCTGTTTTCTTTTGCTCTGTGTTTTTCACACTGTTTTTCACACTTATCACAAACCTGGGCAATGAGTCCTCTGACCAGAATTTTCCCTGGAAAACATTCCGTGGGAGCACCAAAGTTCACATGACACATTAGGAGGGCCCGGCATCCATCAGGCAGTGGATGACAGGTGGGGTCAGCCCGAAACAGTCAAACAAATCACTCTCCCACCATCGGTAGCACTGGGTTGGGCACCCTGAGGTGCCTTGGGAATATTCCTCACTTTGGCAAACTCACAGTACGTTCTGAAACAGCATAAAGGGGAAACGGGGATTCCCTTTGTTTATGGGACACGCAGTGAAAGGAAGGCTAAATCCTGAAATTCTAGAAGGAACAGAATCTAAACCCCAAAGTGGCCCAGATCTAACCAGTTTGTTGGAAGTAGAGGCCCATGTTCCTGGGTTGTGATCTGCACTGGGGAGTTGGGGGGACCGGGGGAAGAATGTGCATTTGGAGGAAGTGACATCGCCTTCTAAGCTCTTTCAGAAAGTGTGTCATTTGGCCGACTCTAAGCACAGTATCCAGCCCTTAGTTGATGCTTAATAAATGCTTCTTGCTTCAACCTATGCAAAGGCTAAGTTTATACTTAACACGCGGAATAAGGAGACAGAGTGGTCAAACAGCCAGTATCCATTGGCTTCCCAGAATGCATCATGTTCCACACTCCCCACCCCCTACAACACCGTTACTCACCTCTTTCGCTTTTCCTCTTGCTATCAGACTACGTAACTCAAATTCTGAACTTGGTGTTCATTGATCTCTACCCTCCAAGGGGTGAGAGGGGAGATTTCAGGGGATCCCTGGACTTGGAAAGGAATAGGTAATTATCTTTATTTCTACATAATCAGCATCCTTTGTATTTTATCTTATGGATTCAAAAACCCTATTCTAAGCTGGGATCCACAGACTTCACTAGATCGCCAAAGGGGTCCAGGACCCTGAAAAGGTTTAGAAACCCTAACCCAAAACCTACCCAATCTTCAAAACTCAGCAGAAGCTTCACTTCTTCCCTGAAGCCTTCCTGCCTCCCTTCTATCCTCCCCACCTTCCCCAATGGTGATTCCTTCCTCTTCTTACTCGCTAAATAGGGATTATTAGCTACATCAGTCTCTGAGCCTATAGAACATTCTGCTCTTGAAGCAACCATATGGGATGGTAACTGGAGAGCCCCCCTTAGAGTCCTGAGGACTTGAGTTCAGATCCTGTCTCTGATACAGACTGGCCCTGACCATGTGCAAACAATTTAATCCTGGACTGTTCCAACTCTGATATTGTAAAATTTAATATTATAAACTGGAAGGCATTGGTAAAGGCAATTTCCTCACCAGGATTTTCCTTATATTGACAAAATTATAGTTCTTAACTCGCATCTCCACCCCCATCCCCACCCAAGTCATACAAATATATACATACACACACACACACACACACACACACACACACACAATAAAAATTCTAGGTAATTTTGAATGTGGAGAAAGAATGGTAGGTGTGGCTAGGCTCACACTTATAGTTTGTCTCTGAATTAGAAAAGGGCTAGACTCAAAAACTGAAAACTGAATAGTCCTTTCCCACCCTACAAAGGAGGAAACAGGAAGTGCAATGACTGTTTCAAGACCACACAGCCAGTTAGTGGGATTGGAACAGGGGCTTCTAATACCCACTCTGGTGAGCTTGCTCTTCACAATGCTATCCACCTTGGAATAAGACTGTGCACCACAGATCCGCCATCTTGAATAATATCTCTATAACCCAACCAAGTGCATGAGGAGCAAGGAGACGCAGTGGAGAGAGGGCTAGCATCAGAGTCAAGAGACCTGAGTTCAAACCCCACCTCTCACATTATAAATGTGGCTCTGAGAAACTCATTCAACTTCTCTGAGTCTCAGCTCCTTCTCTATAATTTTGGGATAATATATCAGCTCTTATATGATCATGGGATCATAAATGGGGAGCTGGAAAGTTCCACTGAGGCTGTACGGTTTAAACCCTTCTTTGCACAGATGAGAAAACTGGGGCCTAAAAGAGATTGTTGTGAAAATAGGCAGTTTTTCAGTCTTAATTTCTTATTTAAATTTTAAAGTCTTGTTACATTAGAAAAGAGTCAGTCCAGGTCTAGGACTATCTTCTAGAACCAAATTAAGCTGACCTCACAGCTGATCTAACTGCATGTCAGAAAGAAGGTGTGAAGGTGGCCAACATGTGAAAGGATTCAACTGAAAATTATTCGACTATGGCTAAGTATAAACACAGCTGTCATTCAAAACCCTAATAATTTTTAATAATAATACTCCCTAATGATTTTATTGGGAATAATAATTACCCCCAACTCTTCGGTGAATTACATCCCCTCACAATCCCATACCTGGGGCTATTTCTGAGGTTCTTGGCTTTGGGGCCAACGACACTGACACGTGTTCTATCCGACCAAATTGAGATGTCGGCCTTATTGGAAGGGTGAACCTAGCAGAGAGAGGGCTTGACTTCTTAGTACACCTTGGTTTTCAATCCTTGCTCTGATACTAACAGCTGGATCACCGTGGGACAAGTCAAGAGACTTGAAAATGGGGTTTGTAATACTTGCACCACCTGGTACCTCATAGGCAGGGTTCTCTTGAGAAAAAAATGCTTTATAAGCCTTAGAGCAGAAATACAGATTTATATCATTATAGTATTAATATTTCCAATGTCTTCTTTCTTTCCTTGATAAGAATAAGAATCCTAGGGACTGTCCATGTAAGCAGATGACCAATCAGTGACCTGTCTGGATGTGATTCGAGCTTCAGGGAAATGTGATGTTAGTAACGTTACCTTATGTTATGTTACATTGTATTATCTTATATTAAATTACCTTATTCTGCATGACCCTATATTATGCTACATTTTGCTGTAATATGTCATGTTATCAGTCACCTCTCCACTCACATAACCACAGTCCTAGTCCAGGCCCCCTCACCTCTGACCTGAACTATTGTAATAGCCTTCAACTAATATTGCTACTTCTAGTCTCTCTTCTTTCCTAGCCGTCCTCCATTCAGCCGCCAGAGTAATGTTCTTAAAACACAGATGGATCTTGCCATGTTATTCCCCTCCTCAACATGCCACAGTAGCTCCCTATGGCTTCCAGGATAAAATGAAAACTTCTCTGCCATGTCGAACCATTCACAATATGACTCCAAGCTATCTTTCCAGGCTTATTACACACTTCTCTCACATGCATTCAATTGTCTGGCCACATAGATCTTCTTACTGTTTCTCATTCCATGTCCCTCCATGTCTTTGGGTAGCCTGTTCCCCACCACAGGCCTGGGGTGCCCTCCTTCTTCCCCTATACCTCTTAGAATCCCTAATTTACTTCGAAACTCCCC